GTTAGATTTATATTTTACCACTATTCGATCCAGAGAACGATTGCACACTTACGATGACATGTCACTGTGACTCCTGCAATACCGTGAGTCAGATATTTTAAATGTTACATGAGAACGCTAACGATATTCACGGCTGACAATTTTTATAACGTTTTTCACTATATTTCGAAAGAGTTGTACAGAATTCATTTCTACTTACTCTATAATACAGTATTCACTATTCAGCTAATCTCAAAGTGAACCGAGGTCTCAATAGAGGTTGCGTGTCGCCACATAACCACACAGAGGGTTCCCCAATTTCAACTTTAATACTCGGGATGCTTTTGACAATCTCCGCCACCTGTGTCACTGACGCTTCGTTGCTTTCACTCTGAAGGGCTGAGTATGGAATGCAGCCTTTCGTTCAACCGTCCTGTACGGTTGTGATACCTGACCCATCCGACCTGCAGATATAGAGGCTAGCTATGTTCGATCTTCGCGGCCTTCGCAGCTTAGCTCATGTCTGGTGGGAACACCGCGTAAGCAATGAATGTGTTCGACGTCGCTTATTTGGTACAGGAAAAGTGAGTGATCCGTTCAACACCTTTCTATCATGCACCGGGCTTCGATGGTTGGGCTGCGTGCTGCGCATACCAGCTCACTGTCTTCCGCGATGTTTGGTGTTTGCGCGCCCGGGGTCTGGATGGGAGAGGTGTTCAAGCGATGACGGTCAAGAGTAATGAAACCCCTCACTTCGAAGTTGGCGTCGGTTGGTACGTTCCGACTGCTGGCCTGGGGTGCAGAGTACGATGAACACGTTTGGTTGGACACACCCGTTGACATGGTTAGGAGCTGGCCCCGATGGTGTTTCTTTGTCCGTCCCTCACTCCTTTGGACTCCCCTCCAATCTCGATCTCATAGGGAATTAATAATATGATGTTTAACCTTACATTACTTGATTTTTTGAATTTTTGTCGCGTTATTTTTACAATCTTATCGTTTTATATTGCGCCACATTAGCGAAGACGTGTTTCCCTCCCTCAGCTAACGTGTATTGATGATGGTGATGGTGATGCGTATGCTGCCAGCAAAGCGCGACAAGAATTGTCTCGCCTCAAGATGGCACTGTGTAACATCAAGCCAGAACTTTTTATGCCATTGTACATAGTAGTGGTTAGGACACATCTGAAGTACTGTGCTCAGGCTTGGTCGCTATCTCTCCGTGTCGATGTTATTTGCATGGAAAAAGCGGACAAACAGAATGATTGAAGGTCAACATGGGAAGTTGTATGAGGATCACCTAAAGAGCTTGGGGTTGTTTTCCCTGGAGTGCTGACCCGATAGAGAGGTTTAAGATAATGAAAAGCCTCATTGACATCAGGTTTACTGATTTGTCTAACCTGGCTTCTTCTGGTCACTGTATATATATATATATATATATATATATATATATATATATATATATATATATATATATATATATATATATATATATATATATATATATATTCACAGTCTGTTAACAGACATTGTGCCGTCAGAACTATGGCAGAAGAAAAAGGTGAAGAAGATGTGAACATGAACTGCGACTAAAAAATCTGGGAAACGATTTTTTGGTTTTACACACGCCATTTTTGTCTTGTTTTGTGAGTTTTTGTGTGCATCAAAGGGATGGTAAAATGGCAGAACAACATTGACGCCACTGATGTCTATTGCGAGCCATGACGTCCAATGTTTCCAACCACTGAGATTCAGCATCTCATGGTCCCCAACCTGGAAGACGGACTGTTCCGACTGCCGCCCAACTTGAGGTTGCCCTCTTCTAGTCACTTGCGTGGACATCATTTGAAGCTCAACCAACGGAGGGCTAGATAGGACATCAGGGCGAACTTTTGCACGAGCCGTGTGGTACGCAGCTAGAATAAATTACCATCTGTGTTAATGGAGGTCTAGCTAAGTGTTGGCCAGAACTGGTGTACTTGTATCGAAATTTAGTAGCAGTGCTATTTGACGTCAATCCATAAAAATGCAAAAATCGCTCTCATTCATGCTTCACATTTTTGCAGCAGCAAAGAGAGGCGATCAAACATCGAAGGGCCGTGGACCCTGTTCGCTTACCAGTACTACAAGCAGGACACTCGTTATGCGGAAGCCTGTGTCGTTCTTGAATCTTGATCTGACCTGACGTTTAAATCGTTGCAACGCCTCAGATACTATAGAGCATATGGCTCGCGTGGGACACCGACTTTTTTCCGTTGATCTGTCTATATCGTGGTTCTGCAGGTTTCGCTCCTTTAATCTCTGTTGTTCACCATTTCCCTAACTTAACTCTACGGGGCACTTGTATCTCCACCTGCATTGTCTTCTGACGTCCCAGTGCTCTGAACAATTGTGTATGTCCTTGGACCTCCCGAAACAATATAATGTCTTAGGTAAACTTCGGTCTTGCCTCATGAATAGGGTCCACTAATCACAGACTATTTATTATCCCCATCAAAACTGTTGGTTCCTCACTGCTGTGTACGGTCGAGGATGTGATCACTCTAGAGTTTCTCCAGCATTGATCATGCAGCTGTGCAACTGCTGTAAAGCAACATGATATCGCCCAGATGCTACAAATCAGCCAGTTTTCTCGTTGTATGCATGTGAGTCTTCCATCATGCCCTTCACCATAGAATCGAACGAAAATAAAAACGAGACAATCCTGTCGGAATGGACTCTGACAACTCACTGTTTATCTTCGCTTGAATTAGTATATTCGGGCACATGACATACAATTGGACACATCTTTCCGGTCAAGTGTTGGGGTGGGGGCGATCAACTGAATCGTACGCTTTTTTAGAATCAAGAAACTCGACTGCTTTAGACCTGTTTAACACGTGAAGCTGCTTTAACATAAATCAAGAATTGCGAATATGATCTGTCACCTTGTCCTTGTTATAAACCTGCGCGTTCTATCACTTTAAATTTCTGTTCCACAGTTTGGTGACCGACTATACTAAAGACTAGTAAATGTGCGGTACGGCTTCAAGTTCATCGCTACCCTTAACCCGAATTTTGCGACTTCCCATCCTGAAGAAATGCTGATACCATTGGTTCGTTCAAGTTAGTTGGGATGGCATATTGTTTCTCTCTCTATGTTCTTATATACAAGCTAACGTGTAGAATGATTGAGTGAATGGTATAGCCTAAGAGAAAGCTTTTCTCAACGTTAAAGAAAAGGAAGGATCCAGACCATCAGTGTATAAATTGTTGAGAGCTATGAAATTGTTTCGAATTTCAACCCCGGCGGAAGCTCCCTAGTTAACTCCCTTGTTGGGTGGTGCCTGTGATACTAGTCTCTAGCAATGACACGTAAGAAACGTGCCAAATATGGTAGGAAAGGTGGAAACAGCTGAATCCAGCGTTTCTTGTACAGGTTACCGTAAACGTGAAACGAATCAGCAAGCGCAAGAAAGGCATAGTACGAGACTCACCAGAGAGCAGTGTGTGAAAACGTATGTACAGTCAGTAAAACCGATGGACGTTGAGAAGGCTCAAACAACAGTAAAATCATATGTTATAAACTACTGAAAGGGTAGGTTTTCAGGTGCACTACATGCTATACTCCAACTTACGCCACCCACACGCGAAACGGTGCAGTCAGAACACAAACTAAACTACTGACGAAAACTGCTCGGCGTGTCAAATGCTGCCTCCCATTGACTTTGTGCGCCGGCACTGTTACTTATTGCCTCTGGCGCGTTACTTTGGTGACCACTTACGCGGACCAGCCAAACTAATTTGCGGAAGTTACTCCATGCTTCCGCCCCTGGGCCCTTTGCGTCCACCTTTCCCTTTCCTTGTTCGATCGCAGATGACATTTGAGCTCGCACTTGTCCCGTTATATTGTGCCCAATGCAGACAGGGATTTCTCTCTCAGACTTCAACTGATTCATCGGTTGTTCGGATTTGCGGCACCCTGTGTGTTTGGGACGAGTATTCCGCTAACATTAGGTCTTTATGGGGGGACACGGGTGCAAGTGTCATCATCATCAATGCACGTTAGGGGAGGGTGAGAAACACATCTCAGCTATTGTGCCGAACTACCTGATATTAGACATTACAGACTAAAAAGTAGTACGATGCTGAATATCATATTATACACGCTGTATGAGATCATTGCTGGAGTGGAATGCTAAACTAGAGGAGGGAGCAGACACTCACAACACAAACGCCATCGAGGTAGACTTCTTACCATGTCAACAAGTCTATCCGACCAGACCTATTCATCGTCCTTCGGACCTAGCCCGACAGTCGGGAGAAACCAACCGATTCCAACTTCTACGTGAGGTAATTCATTCCCCTTGACCAAGTCATCGTTTGGCCTCCTGCTTTTGCATTCGGATCCCGGACGCGCAAGCAACGCACGACGCGGGAGTCGGTGGGCTGGCCTGCGCAACACGTGGCTCAGCAATCGGAGCTTATTGCGCACTATAACTGTGCTGAACGGTTCACTCGCTCTTCCTGTACCAAATACGCGACGCCGAACACATTCATTGCTCATGCGGTGTTCCCACCAAACATGAGCTAAATTGTGAAGGCAAATCGCAGAAATTCCGCAGAACCCAGCAACGAAGGGCTGTTGAAAGGACTTTAATATTGGAGATAAGGAATGGTACAAGAAACTGAACAAAAGGGTCAGAAGATAACATTCAGTGGCGTTCCCTTTTCACCATGCTCCATGCGGCAGAAACCTCGACCCTTTTCAACCTGCGCAGTCACTGATTGAGGATGAGGCCGAGATTTCTTGGAAATGCCGTGGTTATGGTATTACGGTCCTCAGATCTAGACCGTAGAACGGTCGACGTTCTCAAGCAGTCTCTGACTGGGCAAGAATTCGCACTCATTGATGAAGATGCTATGAGACCCATATGGCTTCATGTCAGATTAAGTGTTGAAAACTAACAAGGATTTGCAGCATTTAGCACGTTTGCGCAATGATAACAGCTCACAGCACTTCTACAATACTTTGATTTCAGCTCTTCACACTATTCTCAAATGAGAGGTAAAAAATCTAAAAGATTTATTTCCTACGACGAAACCCGCAAACAGCTTCTACTTGAGGATAACATCAATGAAGAAAAAGCAATTAACCAACTCACTAAGCGTTTGAAAATAAAGAGAAAAGATTCCACAAATCCGCTTTGGATTCACCAATGTGGATTCGATTGTATGTGCATTTTACTGATTTATCAACTGCATTCATTAAGATTTATTAGATTTCGAGAAAGATCTGCATGACCCGGCTTCTCAGAAACAATCGGCGGGTGTTCTTGGTGAGATAGGTGGGAAGAAGAAATCTGGTAAGTTTTGGAATTTCCTTTTTCTCTTATTTATTTCAGTTGACTTGTATGGACAAACAAATAACTCCACGGAAGCTGACAACAAAGCCAAAACCTTGAGAAAGAAAAGAAAGATTGGTACCTATTATTTTACTAGCATTTACTTTAACAGTTGCCAGTGAAGCCGATTCTCCTTTTGAAGGTGATGCACTAACTGGAATCGAGAGCACACCTGAAATGTCTTTGACTGATAGTTCTACAATACTTCGTCGAACCATCCGCGGTTGGCTGAATCGCTTATCCGAAGCCCATATGCAGCGTGTGATAATGGAGTTAACTAGTTTATTCACTGAACATCCCCGAGCAGTCGTTAGAACTGTTTTAATTGAGGAACTTGGTGTCATCTTGGAGGTAAGCGTCGTCTCGTTGTCTTTGAAACGTGATGTCCTTAGGCCTCCCCCATCGACCCCCATTCGAACACCGGATGGCTTCATCAGGAGCTCGCCGTGTGCGTGGCCTGCATACACGCAAGCTTGCATACCAAGTTACAGCATGACAATCTGATCGCTCAATTAACTGAGAGTTTGCTCGACAAACTATTTCCTGAACACAATCTATTAGACTCGAGCAACGTTGTCGCTTCCATAGCCTTATTCTTGGCTTATTTGTTTCGATTTGGAGTGCGTTTAATGCTGTTGTAATCCCTTCTGGTCACTTCGCAGATGCTTTCCCATGTGCTGATAGTCGATCTTATCCGTGAATTTCTACAGGGTAATAACCTGTCTTGTGCGAAGGCGGCCCATGTGGTGTGCACAGGTTGGTTCCTTTTTTGTTTCCCACTCCCCCTCATACATGTCTGACTGTTAACTTCGTGAGTTTTATTTCATTTACAGTTTCCATCCCCACCGATCCATCAATCTGCGCTTATTTATGACTGACACCTGTGCCGTAGCCAGATGCAGTCCTGCTTCTAACAAAACCTCTACCATTACGAACTTGATTCTGCTTTGCAGAGTTGTCAGTTCAGATATGGTGCTGGTTACAGGGGATATGAATACAGAATTAGGTCATGTAAATTCAGAAGTTTAACTAAACTCCAAATTCATTCACAGTGGGGTGGGTTTATTACAGCTGTGTTACAACCTTTGGCTGTTTCTGGTCACGTTAATTTTCGGTACTACAATACCTACGTTCCACTTGGTGTTCAGCGACAGTCGGTCAGCGTTGCGCATAGATTTGTCCTAGTGTTATGAGATTAGAGGTACCTCTCTCTGTCCTTGACTGCTGCTCGTTTTGAAGCACCTGCGCCCACTATAATGTTGCTACGCTGCCGATTTTCCGTGACTCTTACCGCATGCTACAACCAAAAAATCTCCTTTTTGGTCGATGAAATGTTGTCTCCGCTTATATTTGGCAAGTATACCAGCATGTATTGTGTACGAAGCTTCCACCCATTTGCTCTAAGGACATCCATTTAAGATGGAATAGAGGCACCGATGCTATGCACCACGCGGAACCCTGTGCTTTTGACACCACCAGTTATCATTGCACCAGAGACCAGATAACCGAAACGTCCGTTAACATGCTAGAATCAAAAAGTGCATCTGATGTTGCCGAGCACTATGTGAGTACACGAGCTATTGGGTTCAGGCTAAAATGGAGCGTGCGAGTTGAAGAAACCTAACAGATTTAGTATGTTTGTGAAATGGGGAGTCACATGTAATTGACAATTTCCGCATACTCACCCAGTTGCCCTACGCCATTGGTTCCAGGAGCGCATGCGACAGCGAAATAACAAAGAATAACACCGAGTCTTACAATAGGGATCCCGTATACTTCACTGGTCGGACTGTTTTCGTGGGCAGTTCCTTTGGCTGGCTTCAGTGGAATAACGCCGAGCTCATGTGATACAGACTACGACATGGCCGGTTAGATTAGGGGCTCTGGTCACAACAGGACTAAAATGTGCTCGGAGTCCTGTGCCCTTCAGTGATCCCGGTCCATCTTTTATTGTGCATTGTGGCCAAACGAATTCGTTGACTCACCTGTCCGAATAATTAGGGAAAGTAGAGACCGTTCCAGTAAACTGGGTGTAGTGGATCATAGTGGAAATATCTGGGGACAATCGCACTGTCTGTACTGGCAGCGGGATATCACAATAACGCCTATGGGGCCGAGGCTACTGGCTTCTCATCTTACCTCGGAACTGCAATTACGCATATGGGAGAAGCAGACAGGTTTCCATCTGAGACGGGGCTGTATAGTTCACATTTTAGTCTACTGCAAATGCTATGGCATGGTCACATGTTCCACGGACTGAATATATCCACGCTAGTTTGGTTTCAAGAGCGTATTTATCTCCTCTGACCTCTCGTTTCCATACTATACACTTGTTCTAAAATGTTCCCATGAAACGTAAACATGTGCCCTGTCCTCGAACGTCATAAATCTTCTCGTTTTGTCCCCTTTCCCCACTTTTGTTTGACTTTATCGCGATTCCCTTGATGGAGGATTTTCCTGTGGGATCTCACAGTGAGAACATTGAGGTGCCGTTTACCCTGATCACCAGACGATATCGCCTTGCTGTTTTCCATCTGTGAGAAGATACGGTAAAAACTGGATACGCTCTAAAGAGTGATATCATCCTCCGTTATTCGCTCCGCACATTCAAATTGGAAGTGGCTGTCAAATTACCGTTAGCTGGTTGATGGTCTCTTGACGACGAACTACCTAACTAATCGAATCGCCTATCTTGGCAGCTGATCTACCAACGATGAACTCTCGACTACAGAGTTCGGTTCACTTATTACAAATGCCAGATTCACACTATTTAATCTTTGCCATCTATGATGTTAAAGGGGTTTCCATATTAGGACCACGTAAGCGGGATCACAGTGTGGGCTAGTTTTCTCTATTGGAATGGTATTTGGTCTTCTTAGTTTGAGCGGATGGCACCAATGTGTGCGCCACGATGCCACGCAAACGATAATGATCAACGATGGTCGGGCTTGTTCCTTAGAGCAACAAATAGCATTTCAATGCTTATACTCCTAAGGGCATATTTCGCGAGTTGAATTGATAGCATTTAATATGTTACCGTTATCGCGGGGACGTAATACATATGCCGGTTGGTCGTTCACCAAAGACCTGCCCGTGACGTTAAGGATCACAAACCTGTCTCGTAATTCGAGGGCGCGAGTCCGAGCCTGCGTAGCGGACCGAGCGACTCTCGCAGTGTCCTCAGCTCACGCGGACTGTGGATGGTTGTGCAGCGGCGAAGCGTTGGTACTGCGTACCGGCGTACTGCTGATGCGTACCTTGCCAAAGATCTGTTTCCATCCGAGCATACGGCTCGCAACCTTTGCGCTTTGGTTTTCTGTTCCCCTACAGTATCCCAACTCGCGTGCAACCGCTTACAGTTCTGCTGCGTGGCATCAGTTCAGGTTGCGTATGTGTTGCTGCTACCTTTTATCGAGAAGGCCTTGTTTTTGTCGCTCGATGTAGGGTGGTGCAATGCTCGCTGTGAGCGACTGTTTACTTGGTCAGGCCACTCAGTTAGACTGGGCCTCGCAACCCCGAGGAATAAAGCGATTATTTCTTCATCTATAATTAATTCATTAATCGCTATTTTGGGTGCTTTTGTTCGATCTCGCGGTATAAATTTGAGTCCACCCGAGTCATGTCGTGTTTGACTCGAGGATTTACAGGAAACTGCTCGCAGTTGGCACTTATAGCATTTGATGCCGTCTCATCGTCTGATTGTTTATGTGAACTAGTTTTGACGTTGTTAACGCTAAGATAAACCTGATAATGACGCTCGACAATGCCCACCGAAATAGAATTGTCTCGCTGATACTACGGTATTCGTATGATACTTGTTATGATTTGCCTCTGTCTGTGCGATTCCGGCTGAACTGAAATCGTTCTCTGCTAGCTCCAAATCCCAGCCGGAACTCAAAGGATAAAGCTTAGAAATAAAAGCGTGTTGCAGCACCATTTATCGGAACGCATACAAGTAGTGGGAAATTGACGGGCATTTATAAGTCAACCAAAGAAGATTCATGTGTCAGAACAACTAGGTCAGCTGTCCTGATTGGTAGATCTGTTCCGCTAGCCAGTGAGGAGGTAGATACGTGTATCGTGTAGACGTGAACGTTGCTGTTGCGAGCATTCCTGAAATATCTTGATGTGTCTGTTGCACTCAATTGGTTCAAATCGTTTTCCCATTGCAATAATGCGTTTTCCTGGGAGATTTCACTGCCTTTCATCTCGCTTTTTGAGATCGCGGTTTCGATGTAGGATGCTAGCCTCCTTTTGAATTGCAGTCTTGAAGACTTATCTCCGTCTGTCCGTCCATCGCCGTGGTTGAAGTTCCTTTGGAGTTGGCTCTGGACTACCGGTCTGGCTGCGACCGTCGCTGTCTGATTTCAATAAGTTGAAGTGATCCACAAAGAGGTCTAAAGGCAGCTTGGCTGGCTTCCTCGTTCCTGGTCGGACAATGTTGTTCGAGCACTGAATCTCCGGGCTTGATTGGACGTTCCTTTGCTCCATGCCATCACTTAAATCCTTGCTCCGTTTTTCTGTTCATTTCGCCGTACGAGGACTCCGGAGCTGGTCGAAGTGTATCGGATGACTTACGGAGCTTCTTGCTCATCATGGCTTCTGCGTATGACGGTTCAGGGGTGACATCAACGAGTCTTAACCTCTTCATTCAGTCGATTCCAAGGATGTTTAAATTCGATGACTCCGTCAGGTAGCATATTTCTGTCTTTTCTACCTCGTTAAAATCGATTTTGCAGGTGCTTTTTCCAACCGGATTCAACACTCCACCAGATGCGTTGAGAGCCACTTTAGCAGAAGCAGCAGCCGCCGGCATCTTGGTGTGGTTCCATATGCTCTTGGAAATGATAGTTATATCAGAGGCTGTGATCATCGCTGCCTGTAGTGCATTGCTGGTGTCGGGTGGCAACAGCGTGTTCTCAACTATGATGTGCGTAGGCGAGTACTAGGCAGTGATAACCAAGCTCGTTCCTTAGAACAACAGGTAACACTGAATGCTGCGCTGGCTTAGCCACGTACTACGTATGCCTGCTAACCGCTTACCTAGGGTGGCCTTGTTTAGTCTGCCAGGTGTAGTGGAGCGCAAATTTCGTGGTGGACAAAAGTTGACTTGACAGTGGGAAATGAAGTCATTAACGAACAAACTGGATGCCGTCTCGCCCTCCAGGCTAGAGTCCACGTGACTGACAGCGGACACCAGCGGCGCGTCTGCTGCCGTCTCGCAGTCGGGCTGCCCGTTTAAAGTGTGTTTGCTGTTGAGTTATCTGCGGGGTAATGGCTGATTATGACGCGTGGCAATGAAAGCCGCAAGGAAGCTGTATCGCCCATGCCGCCTTTGCACAATAGCCAGCTGTTTGTGATGGTGTGTTGTTAATACAAGGTGTAGGCGTCTTGACCCTGAATGTTTGCTTATTGCATTAAGTTTTTCAGGTAAGTCCTTATCTCCCTCTTGGTATTCTTCGTTTAGCAGGTCATCATGGTTCTATGGCAGCGAATCCTCAGTTTAAATGACTGATGTACTGCTGTCGTTGATGTTGTTGGTCGTGTCAAACTGCATCATTGAAGTAATCCCGTTGATAAGTACGTTAATGAAATGCCTGCGAGGTTTGAACTCACTCTTCAATGCAGCAACGACTGACGTGGAGTCTGCAACGGTATTTGGAACCTCCTTCTTGGAACGGAACGGTTTTGTATTCACTGGTCGAGTCTGTTTGCATAGTTTTGCTTATGGTGTCGTTTATGGGCCTTTTGGCAGGTGTGCTTCTTGAATGAGCAGAATGAGGCCAAATGCCACTCAACCCATGACCAACAGACAGTAGACGGTCCGTTCTGTGACTGTCCGGTCCGTTTCGCTTGCAACCTGTCACAGCATGGATGTTTCGCCATTGTGCGGTAGAATTATCGACCATGGCGGTGTCATGTTTCAGAGCATCAATCTTTGTTCGACCGTTAGGGATCTCAAGGTGGTGTCTGGGTATTGATCCAGCTTAGAGAGTAGTCTTGTGCGGATCTCATCATCCTGCGGGGGCCTTAAGGCACCAGTAAATATGGGCACCTGAATTTGGCATCTGTCAACAAGCGCAGCTTGAAGCGTTCACTCTCACGGTTGACCATGTCTGCCAGCACACCATAGTCATCTGTGTCCCGCATGAGGATTTTTAGACACCGATAGTGAACGCTGAATAGTGATTACAACTCACCGAAAACTTGTGACTCCTCTTCGGCAAAACTGACATCTTCCGGCTGTTTTTCAGTATATCATCAACAAGTCTTGCATGTTCATCTGTGCCCAGTTTAAGGAGTAGCAGTCGCACATTCCAGCAGTTGTCCCGATGGTTGAAATCCGTTTTAAACATATCCTGTCAGCATATGAACCACGCATCGAAAGTGCTTCCGGAATCAGGATCATAATTGATTTCAGTAATGAAATTGCAGAAATCAACAGAACTTGCCTGCGTGTCCCGCGAGGCTGTTTGTGCAGACCCCAGACTGAGTCGCTGCGTCAAGGTTTCGATCAGGTTCATTTGCGCCTGCTGTTGTCGTAGCAGCATTTGAAAATCTTCTGCGAGGAAAATCATTGTATTGCCACTTGTTTCAGTATCCATATGCTATGATCTACTGTCTGTGCGATTCCGGCTGAACTGAAATCGTTTTCTGCTAGCTCCAAATCCCAGCCGGAACTCAAAGGATAAAGCTTAGAAATAAAAGCGTGTTGCAGCACCATTTATCGGAACGCATACAAGTAGTGGGAAATTGACGGGCATTTATAAGTCAACCAAAGAAGATTCATGTGTCAGAACAACTAGGTCAGCTGTCCTGATTGGTAGATCTGTTCCGCTAGCCAGTGAGGAGGTAGATACGTGTATCGTGTAGACGTGAACGTTGCTGTTGCGAGCATTCCTGAAATATCTTGATGTGTCTGTTGCACTCAATTGGTTCAAATCGTTTTCCCATTGCAATAATGCGTTTTCCTGGGGGATTTTCTTTTCCCTTACCATGGTCAGCTATCTTTTATTGATTTACGCGTGCCTCTCAGTTCATTGTTTTCGAGATTATCTCCTTTATTCTCATTATGTGTAGTTGTCTTTTTATGTTAGTGAGGCATATACTGAAATTGCAAGCGTTGTAATGGTGATTGCCGGCGAATGCTTTATTTGATTCGATTTCTACATTTGATTTAACATATATGGCATTTAGGCGTCCCCTTAAGCTTGACTCTATCCTTCTTAATTTGAGGGATCACGACTTCGGTCTCACCAGCTACATTGGATTACTTATTTTACTTATCTGACGAAAATTTTTGGTTTGCGAACCATTTAGCGGCCTAATGCATCTACCACGATTGTTCCGCTCCACACGGATGTTCTAGCTTCTTTCTTGTAACTAGTTTAAAACTATCTTCTTTATCAAACTAGTTTCGTAACATGATACAGTGTTACTTTCTCTTCTCGTTCCAGCTGTTGGTGTCAATCTCCGCAAAGCGAATATTTCGTTAACTCACGAGTTGGTCGATCTTGCAACCAAAAGGCTCATCGCCTTGAATGCTCAACGCATGGACGAAATGTAGATCTTCTGTATTGTAATTCTGAACTGTTACCCAGCTGCGAACTGGAAGGTATTATACAGCTATTGTCTGCAAAGCATTCAAAGGAGGAGTGCGTTGTTCGAGCTACGCGTCTGAAGAAGATGATGCATTCATGGGTAAAAGGTATGTCACTTCTGACAATCTGGATTAGTATTGCGAGCAAGCATAACAATTATCGTGTATATTCTCGCTTTAACGAAGCGCCCTTATTAGCGTGATTAGAATTGTACAATCATCGTACACCATTTAAGCCACAGAAGGGAACAAATGCATAAAAATGGAGCAAGGGCTGCAACAGATTTTGAAGAAATGAAAACGGTTCAAGTAAAGTAATATAATCATTCGCAAAACCATCTCCTGGGAACCTGCTTCCATGCGGGGTACCCCCCCCCCCGTTGAACGTTTCACCCGCGCTTTCACACCTATCTGCAAATGTGCCAATGTAAATTAAAAGCATGCAAATCACCGCCCACTTACTTCGTTTCCCAAGCCTAAAGTTAACGAGACCATCACCCTTTTACCTCTTTCTTTTTCTTTGTTGGGTCATTTTTATATGCAATTGGGTGGTAACTTCCGCTACCTGGCCCATTCACTGTGCCATATATAGCACTTTTTTGTCTCCTTAGTACATTTCAGGCATTACAACCCAGCACAATGCAGCAGAAAAATCCTGCAGAGTGCTGCGACTGCCGACTGCATATTTTGCGTCAACCAAAAGACAGTACTTAATATTAAACGTACTTATGATTTCTAAGCAATATGGGCTTATATTTCATTTTTAATATTATTTATGTTATCCATACAATTTAGTTAGCTTTCTGTTTAAGTATGCCGGTAGTAGTGGTAGTAGTTCTATACATGCCAGAATGAAATATTCTCCTCCATTGAAGGCATCTGCATTTATTGTTACTTTCCTCCCCGATACCTAATTTATGGCGCATCTGACACTATGCCTGAAAGAACTAATCATACTTATGTTGTCAAAAACCACATACTTTCGGGAATTAATGTTCATTTTATCTTGGTATCGTTTCGTCGTTGATCTCGAGTTGGCCTATCATCTGAGGTGACCCAGTTAATCAGCATGTCAACTAAAGGTGAAATCCACTCAGCAATGCGTGGACATTACGCAGCGCTTTTGCCTAGAAAAACAGCAATTGCATCATACGCAAGGAATGCTGCATTGATGGTCGAATAGTGCTTCCACCAATCATAGTCCGCCTTGGATGACCTTCAAGACGCCTATCGGTCATCTTCGGACGTGGGTTATACACCAACCCAACCGGCTCTTATTTCACCCCAAATTGCCTCTTTAACAGGAATCTCTGCTCCTCCCACCCGGTCTAGTTACGGAAGCACACGCTTCTGTACCGTGAAGCCTACTTTATATCGATTGCAAATAAATAGAACAGCTCACAGAAACTGACCAGGGACTTCATTATATTAGGAACACAGATTAAGAGCACAGTAGCCCTATACATCCTGCATGCTGTGTCCGTGTTCTTCCGTTTACTGGCCACCGTATACGCATGTTAGGTCTCATAAGCATAAGGGATATGTTGTCTCTGGCTGTCCACTGACGCTACACCCAGAGAGTCGTCGAAGGTAGTGCGATCTTACATTCCGTAACAACTGTCTTACGCTGTTGCAAACTTCTGTCTGTGACACGCCAGCGTCAACAAATCTAGCGATGAGCACAGCTGTTAACAAGGGCTCATAAATGGCAGAGGAATCTTACCTAGGAGCGTAGCATAAATTGGTAAGCGTTTGAAAGCGCCGATATCGTGTGTGCCTGAACACTTGATAACACCTGCTACTTGCCGTTGCATAATCCTCTCCACCATGCGGTGGGTAGCTTTAGGCAATGAACTACCAGGTGTACCTTGAAGTAAAGCGGTCTGTATTTGATGAATGGAAATGTGTTCACATTATTACCAGTGCTCCCTTTATTTTGCCATCAGCCAGCGAGGCATCGAAGAATCGAAGCTCTTCCACAGTTTTCCCACGCGGAGTCAGATATATCGCCGACTTTGTACTCAATTGGTGAACGGAATCCGTTGGCGTTCGCATGCCGGTCTTCATGGTGTACATATCGCGAGCAATTCCACTCACCTCATGTTGTATGCCTAAAGAGCATGGGAACTTGTTAAAAAGCATCAGACTCAAAAGCGTTTCCATTTGGATGTTTAACGGCTCCACCTCACTCTGTGTTTGTCGGACGCGGAGACATAATGTCATTGCACATTGATGACGTACCTCTGTCTTCATCACAGAGACGAGTGCGGAGCATTGCCAAGGCCTAAACAGTTGCTGGGAGTAACGACATAGTGCTTACCTTGAGATGGAATGAAGAAATTCTGAATAGATGTTGTTTCCTGGACAATACCTGCGACTACTATAGTCCACATCCTCTTTGCACAGGAGCGGTGCATACTTCAAACCCCGAGGTGGAAGGTGCCTGCATGAGAGGTTGCTGAGGCGGCAATCCGCGATTCACGGAACATGATTCTACGCGTTTTTTTGGAATTCATCACGTGCCTCCGTAGTGAAACGATGAGGGACATGTCTGAAAGTGGCGGTTATGTACATATATACATATATAAATATTGCACAATACATCAATCGTTTAGGAGGAGAGTCCATGAAAACTGTTCCGTCGGATTCCTCCGATAGTTCGTCATTACGTTCACCTCGTTGGATATGAATGGCGTTGTCGATGTCCCCTGTGGGCATGTGGTGAAATTGACGGCTTACCTGTCCGGCGTATAACGTCAACACGGTGACATGGATCACCGGGTTCTGATCGGCGGTGTTGACGAACCGCATTGTGATAGTCATGAACGGATGCAGGGGGAATGACATCATCATCATCATCATCATCATCATCATCATCATCATCATCATCATCATCATCATCATCATCATATCATCATCATCATCATCATCATCATCATCATCATCATCATCATCATCATCATCATCATTACACGTTAGCTGGAGGTGGAAAACACCTCAGCTATTGTGCCGCAATACAAAAGGCAAGAAAAGAAGAAAAAAAACAGTGCCACGCCCGCTGAGTCCCCAGTAACGGATGGACATCGTTCCGGAGAGCTAACAGCTGGCTGCCGTAAAAGAAAGTCATATTATGCCTAACGATTGAGATCGTGATTGGAGGGGGATGCTAAACAGGAGGGGGATGGACAAAGGAACTCACAACACAAACGCCACTGGGCCGGCTCCTAGCCATATCAGCAAGTGTGTCCAACCAAACGTGTTCACCGTCCTTAGGACCCCAACCAGGCAGTCGGGATGCATCAACCGACGCCAACTTCGAAGTGAGGGTTTTCATTTCTCTTGACCAAGTCATCACTTGGCCTCCCCTCCTCCTCTTCCAACTGCACCCACAACGCGCAAACAATGCACGTCGTGGGAGTCGGTGTGCTGGCATGCGCAACACGTGGCCCAGCCATCGGAGCCTGGTGCGTGATATAATGGTGCTGAGCGGTTCACTCGCTCTTCCTGCACCAAATACGCGACGCCGAACACGCTCATTGCTCACGCGGTGTTCCCACCAGACATGAGCTAAGCTGCGAAGGCAGCGATGATCGAATGTGACGAGTCTCTTCAAGTCTGTCGACCTGATGGGCCAGGTTTCACAGCCATATAGGAGAGTTGAACGGACGGCTGCGTTGTAAACTCTGCCCTTGAGGGCGAGAGTAATGTCGCGTCTGCGCCACAGGTGGCGGAGATTGGCAAAAGCACCTCGAGCTTTTGCTATACGTAACCTCATCTTCAATTCCACGGGTGCTAATATAGCTGCCCAGGTACTTGAATTCCTGAACGACTTCTAGCAGATCACCACCAAGCGTTAGCGCAGGTTTGGGTCCCTGCCAATCTTGGAGAAGTACTTTGCATTTCGATGGAGCAAAGCATAGCCCAAAACGATTGACAGCCAGTGCTAATCGGTTCAGTGCTGTTTGGCATGTTTGGGAGCTGTCACAGATTAGGGCAATATCGTCTGCATACTCCAAGTCAAGAAGTCGCTCACCAGGAAGTAGCTCCACACCTTCTAGGTCGTGTCCAGCGAACGCTGTTTCCATGACTTCATCAATAGCGAAGTTGAAGAGGAAAGGTGACAGCGGGCATCCTTGTCTCACACCGCTGGTGATACTGAAGGGTGGCGAGAGTTTGCCATAAACCCTCACCCTGCCCGAACTATGTGCGTACAGCGCTTTGATAATGTTTACATATTTATCAGGCACACCTTTCCTCAACAGACAGTCCCAAAGGGCACATCGATCGACTGAGTCGAAGGCACCTTTTATGTCAAGAAACACGACAACGGTGGGTCGCCAATAAACATGGCGGTGCTCCAACACTTGACGCAATGTGAAGATGTGGTCGATGCAGCCCCGACCTCGACGAAATCCGGCTTGCTCTTCACGAATCTGGCTTTCACGAGTGCCAGTCAGTCTGTGAAGAATGACAGAGGCAAGCAATTTAGAGGCAATCGAAATCAGACTGATCCCTCTATGATTGCCACATTCTAAACGGGAGCCTCCCTTGAAAATTGGGACAATGACGGAGCGGTTCCAGTCTGTCGGGTCTGTCTCCTGCTCCCAAAGTTTTACTAGCAACTCGTGTAGATCATCTACTAGAGCAGGTCCACCGAATTTGAAGAGGGCTGGAGGAATTCTATCTGCTCCTGCGGCCTTATGCAATTTCAACAGCCTGATCTCACGTTCGACTTCTGCGCGTGAGGGCTGATCCAAGGAGACGGCCCAAGGAGAAGGGCGCTCAATGTTCGAAGGAAGCGATAACTCAGGTTGGTTAAATTGCCTCGCAAAGTGTTCAGTCCAACGCTCCAAGCGTTCGGACAGGCTGTGGATCATCTGCCCACTCTCGTCGCGTATGGTCTCGCTAACACCAGGTCTCCTGCTGTCTGTTGCCCGTATCAGACGGTATAACTTACGATGATTACCCACAGCAGCGGCTGTTTCCATCTCAGAGGCACGATGAGACCACCAGGTTTCGCGGTCCTTCTTTAGGCTAGCACGTAGTTTCGCCCTGAGATTTTTGCGAGCTTCATTGTATACGCTTCCAGCCAGAATACGTCGGCGAGC